CCATTGAGGAGGGGAGCGGGTGGCGGGCGGGAGAGACGCGGGGAAAAGACGAACCACGAGCGAGTGAAGCTGATGCCAAGGAAAGAGACTGCTGCGGCGGATGTAAAGAAAAGCAGAACCGACCAGTCGGCGGCAGTGAAGAAGCCGTTCTCGGGATGATGTAGACTGATGACGACAGCGGAAAACTACCTACCTAGCTGCCAAGACTAAAATAAGAGCGGGAAAAGAGCAGGAAAACCATCCATAATATTGTAGAGGTAGTAGGTGTAAAGGCCGCGAAAGAGCGAAAACTGACGTGAGTAGAAGAGGATGAGGTGACGTAAGCTGGAATATATTGCCCGCCGGCCCCCGGCGGCGGAATTGAGGAACCTGGACAAATCTGGCTGATAAGCTGGCAACGAGCTGTGCTGGTGAGATAGGGAGGGAGGGAGGGAGACGTGTCATTGCGAAATGTGGGGCTGGGGAAACCCCTCTCCCCTTTTCGGTCAGTTCTACTTCTGGTACACTCTTGCCCTGGCAGCAGCTTCACTCGTTCACGTGGTTCGTCTTTCCCTCCCTCCCTCCCGCGGTTCCATTTCCTTGTCAACATCCATACCCATACCCACACCCACATCCACCTTCACCCACGACCACTCACTACCCCCCCCCTCCCCCCCACCACCTCAGCGACATCCGTACACTGGAAGAGGATCCCGGCGCGGCCATGGAGTTCGCCCGGTCCAAGAGCGAGGCGCGCAAGGAGGGCCTTACGGGGGTGGAGTTTGCTGATGTGGCCGGGCTGGGACCCATCCTGTCGGAGGTGGTGGAGGTGGTGGAGGTGAGGTTGCTAGTTAGTTAGACGGGTGGGTGGGGATTGGTATCGTATGTTGTCGAAAAGGAGGCACTGGTAAAGGGGCATCACTATTTGGGACGGATGAGTGCCAGGGGAGTCAAGAAGAGGGAAAACGGGAAAACAGCAGCAACAGTAACAACAGCAGCAGCAATTGCAGCAGACCCAGCAAGTCTTCTTCTTCTAAGTCAAGAAGGGAAAACAGCAGTGCCAACATCCCAAGCTGCTGCTGGGGAGTCCAAAGCCGCCATGCATGGCGGTGGCGCGCTCTTCCGTGAACTTTAGTACCGACATGGTTGTCTGTCGCTTTTGGGGGCGTCGTGAACCATCGCGTCGTCATCGCCTCCAGCGTTCACGTCCAGCGTGTTGCCGCCGAGGGGGGATTGCGGCCGGGGGTAGAAGGGAAGGGGGGGTTTGGGCAGAGGAGGGAGAGAGGGTGGGGGAAAGAAGGGGAAGGAAACAGTACGATACGGGTTGTTGTTATTACGGTTGCGTCGGAGGCGCACGGCAAGGTATATAGGGCCCACCACCGCCATGGCGTTGGGGTTTTACCCGGGGGATAGGGTAGGCGAGTGGTTCGGGGGGGGGGGGAGAGCTGAATGGCTGCCGGGTGCTAGTCCGAGCCTGTCTTTCTATTGGGCCGTGACGTACAGTTGTAGCAACTGCTGTACCGTACTGTGAAGTCTGACGTAGTGCGATCTAGTACTAAGGAGCTTATTGTACTGCTTGTACTTTGCCGTAACTTGCCGTACATGTGCAGTTCCTGAAGGACCCCCAGACCTTTTCCAAACTGGGTGCTCGTCCACCCAAGGGCATTCTGTTGGAGGGAGATCCCGGTGGGTGGTTGGGAGTTGGAGGTTGGGCGTGCTGCTGCATATGGCTGTTTGACTACTTGCCTCCCTCCCCTCTCTCTCCCTCTCCCCCTTTTTGCACGTGTGTATGTATGTCGTACATCAGGCCCCTCCGGTCACAAACCTCTTGGACTTTGGTTTATTGGGCTATGCCCTGAATGCTGTACGGCGGGTTTTCCTGCACGTCACCACTGACTCCACGTCCGCCACTTTCTGGTCCTTTGTGTGTTGCATTGGGATCACGCGATGCCCCCCCCACCATCCAGACCACCCCCACCACCCCCACCATCCAGACCATCCACACCACCCCCACCATCCAGACCATCCACACCACCCCGACCATCCAGACCATCCCCACCACCCCGACCATCCAGACCATCCACACCATCCCGACCATCCAGACCATCCACACCATCCAGACCATCCAGACCATCCACACCATCCAGACCATCCACACCATCCCCACCATCCAGACCATCCACACCACCCCCACCATCCAGACCATCCACACCATCCCCACCATCCAGACCATCCACACCATCCCGACCATCCAGACCATCCACACCATCCCGACCATCCAGACCATCCACACCATCCAGACCATCCAGACCATCCACACCATCCAGACCATCCAGACCATCCACACCATCCAGACCATCCACACCACCCCCACCATCCAGACCATCCACACCATCCCGACCATCCAGACCATCCACACCATCCTGACCATCCAGACCATCCAGACCATCCAGACCATCCAGACCATCCACACCATCCAGACCATCCAGACCATCCACACCATCCAGACCATCCAGACCATCCACACCATCCAGACCATCCAGACC